ATATATCCCTTTTAAACAGTTCTCTCCCTCATTTGTTTCAATGCAGTATACATCATCCCTCCCCTCCTTCTCTGTCTTCCCTCAACTCCGATGCCAGTCCCGTTTTACAACAGTGGCCCTATACAATATTTGTCCTTTTGTGACTGAGATATTTCACTCAGCATAATGTCCTCCAGGGTCATCCAATTTGCATAATATTTCATGAGTTCCTTGTTTTTCAATGCAGCATAGTATTCCATTCTGTGAATATACCAGAGCTTCTCTATCCATTCTTTTGTTAATGGGCACTTGGGTTGTTTCCAGCTCTTTGCTATTGCAAACAAAGCCACAATAAACATGGGTGTGTATATATCTGCTTGGGTGGCAGTTGTGGTTTCTTTAGGGTAAATTCCCAGTATGGAATTGCTGGGTCAAATATTATTTCTATTTGCAACTTTTTGAGAAAGTGCCATACAGCCTTCCATAGTGGTTGAACCATATCTTTTTTTTTTCTTTAATGAAAACAAATATGGCTCACTTCCAGCCATTTAACCAGGTAATTGTCTTCCAAATTTCTTGGCAGAGACCAGTGAGCAGTCATTGCTGCTGCTTCTTGTTGAAACACCTCAACTGGTATCCTGCCAGTCCCTGAAGCCTTGTTTTCACCAATGTCTTCAGTGAAGGTTGGACAGCTTCCTTTATGACATTAGTTCTTCATCATACACTACTTCTGAAATGGTTGTGGCATGACTAACTCTTTTCTGATGCTGTGACTCTGTCTATTCTTTCTGTCTTCTTTTGATGCTTCCTGGGTCAGTCAATATGTTGCTCTATAAGTCCTTCAGTATTGCAACTCAAGGCTTCACCAGTTCTTTCCCCTTGAGAAATAGCAATTGTGTTCTTCCCATTTTACATTTGGCAATGCAATTCCTTACCACTAAGCCATCAGAGCTCCCAGTGGACACGAAGGGATTTAATGTGCCGTTGTTGTTGTTGTTATTGTTGTTGTGCACCATTGAGTTTAATCAACCACAGCTGGCCTTCTAGCAGGATTCAGAGGCAGTAAATGGCATGAGAGGACACTGCCCAGCTTTCTTCCCTGGACCAGTGGTGGATTCAAACCGAGTTGGCAGTGCAGCTCCTTGCCCCAAGGACACCAGAGCTCCCTTTAGTGTGGGTTTAATGTGCTTTTCCCTGACAGCTTATGAAGTTGAGCATGTTTCTTCTTGGCTGACCAACTAAATGGTTGTCCCTTTTTGTGACATCAAGTCTCTTATCCATTTGTTCTACTGGGATATCTACTTTCTCTCTTAGTATTTTGTGTTGCTGTTAGCTGCCATCATGTTTATGCCAACTCATTAATCTTTATGTATGACAGAACAAAACACTGCCTGGTTATGTGTCATACTCACACTTTCCAGAATATTGAAGAGCACTGTTGCGGCTATCATGCCACTCCATCTCACCAAGGGCCTCTGTGCTCTCTCTTGATCCTTCTAATTCATCAAATATGACATCTTCTTCTAGTGTGTCCAAAGCAAATGAGTCAGATAGTACTCTTTTGTGATCCATGTATTCATTCACTACTTTTGGGGAGTGTGTTGCCTGCCCTTTCTGTCTAGTCTGTGTGTGTCTGGAAGCTCTGATGAAACTTGTCCACCACGAATAACTCTACTGACATTTGAAATACTGGTGACATAGCTTCCAGCAACACCCAAGACACCCCACAATACAACACAATGATAGAAAGGTGATGGGACTGATAATTACAGCTTTGTATATGTTGGAAAGTGTGTAAAGAACAAATATCCTTGTTATACAGTTTGTGTGTAACAAGTATCCTCTCCCACTCAGCAAATTGCCTTTTTACTTTCCTAATGATTCTTTTTTGTTTCAAAGGAGGTTTTTAAGGAGTACAATTAATCAACTCAGCAAAGACATACCAATCTTTCCTTTCTGTTCTATTTTAGAAATCTTTGCATATTCCGAAGATTCTTTAGATTTACCCAAGAATTATTTAAGTATTGTGAGATGTAAGAATTTTTAATTTGTTCTTTAAGAAAGTCCAGTTGGCCCAGATCCTTCCAGGCTTTTCTCCATTACTCTACAGGGCTATCTTTATTACAAATTGTGTGTGTGTGTGTGTGTGTGTGTGTGTGTGTGTGTGATTTTCTTAGGCTCCATCAGTCTTTGTCTATCTCATACCATTTACACAGTCATTTCTGTCACATTTTAATAAATCTTGGTGTCCAGTAGAGTAAGTCTGACAACATCTTTTATTATATTTATTCCTAGAGGATATTTTTTCCATGTAGATTGTAAAAATAGCCTCATTTTGTAATTTATTCTTATTTGTTTCTTGTTGATATATTGAAATACTGACCTTATATCCAGAAATATTACTAAATTAACTTACTAATATTAATTATTTCTTTTTTAGTAGAGTCTTTCCAATTGTAGCCATACTATGAGCACTTTTCATTTGGTCTTCTTGACTTATTCAATGGCTAGCATTCTTGGTGTGATGGAGAGGTCATGATGGCAGACATCTTGTTAGACATCTTGTTTCATTTTTTATCTCAGAGGAAAGCTTTGAACATTTCACCATTAAATTTAACATTTCTTCTAGGATATTTTTGTTTGATAGCAGCTGTTTTGTCACAAGCTATAAAAAGAATGGGGGCAGCATAGGAATGGCCATATCTGACCTTTATTAACTCCACAAGGGGAACTGTCCCCATCAACAGCATCCATAACACAAAATCAAGTCCCCTGGGGTGAGATATGCCCCAACCCACACACACATTCCTGCACCTACTTCTACTAATTCCTGGGTCAATCCTCTTGCTCTAATGGGTCTAAAATTAATTTCAGTAGCTATGTCTCTCTGGAGACTAAGGTCCGCCTGATAACAGGCCATAGTCTTCGCAATCACTTGTTATGCATCAGAGAGTTGGACAATGACTAGGGAGGATAGAAAGAGAATTGATGCCTTTGAGCTGTGGTGCTGGAGAAGAGTATTGAATGTACCATGGACTGCCAAGAAAACAAACAGATTCATCGTAGAGAGGAGTAAACCAGGCTGCTCCTTGGAGGCAAGGATTCTGGGGCTTCGTCTGACATAGTTTGGACATGTTGTAAGGAGAGACAGGTCTTTAGAGAGGGACATCATGCTGGGTAGAGTAGAGGGACAGTGCAGGAGGGGAAGACCCTCTATGAGGTGGATTGATTCGGTGACTGGGGCAATCGGGATGGGTGTGTCAGAGGCAGTGCGGTTGGCGCAGGATAGAGCAGGGTTTAGGGCTGTTGTACATAGGGTCGCTATGAGTTGCAAATGACTCAACAGCACATAACAACAACAACAACATACAGACCTCACCGACCCATACTCATGATTGCGGGATTTATTAGGGAAGTTAGCAGGTTATAACTCAGGTTGGCAACAGAATATACTTTCTTAACCAGACGAGCTTCTTTTTTTTTTTTTATTTCAGTATTTTGGGGACGAAGTTGTTTTTTTTTTTCATAAGACGAGCTTCTTAAACATGCTTGCAGGTCTATAGGTCTTCAGCCTTGTGGCTTTAGGTCAGTATTAGAAAGCTCTCTTAGTCCTGCTAAATATGGTGTATTCTCCCTAGCACTTCATCAAGTCCGGGCAAAGGCTCCTGGCCTTGGCTACTTGGAACAATATCCCAGGTCAGCTGGCTCCTGTTGGGTCTCTGTTGCCACTGTTGTTGCTTTCCTGTAGGTCTGGCTGGCACAGACATCTCTGGTCCTGAAGGATGCTCATGCATTCTTCATTCTTCTTCCTTGCTAGTAGTGAGAGTCCCTGATTTCTGCCACTGAATCTGCTCAGTTTAAATCTGGTGGAATGACCAAACTGATTAACCCCTTCATGGATAGATGAACACACTACACACTGTCTTTGCATGTTCCTGGCCTGTCCTTCGGTTAAATCAAAGGCAATGGCCTAGGAAAGTCATTTTGAACAACAGGCACACTGCACCACATAAGTATATGTCATTATTAATCCTTTTCTATTTCTGCCTGAGTGGTTTTTTCCCCTCGCCTTTATTTAGTTACAATAGTGAATTATATCTATTTTCAAATGTGAAACCAAACTTGCATTCCCTAAAATAAACCTAGTTTGGCTATGATTTCTATTTGACAGTATTTTGTGTTGAAATTGTCTATGATCATAAGTGAGATTAGCTTATTATTTTCTTTTCCTTATAGTACCTTGGTATTAAGGTTCTTTTTAGCCTCAGGAAACAAGTTAAAAGGAGTTTTCTCTTTGGAAAATCTGAGTAAAGCTGATAGTATTGTCCCCTTTTAAATGTCAGATAGACTCCTCTGGTAAAGCCAGATGGACCTTGAAATGTCTTTGTGGAAATATTCTAAAGGAAACATTTTATCTATTTAACACATATGATTTTCATATGGTCTCATTCTTCTGCTGCCAGTTTTCCCAAGGGGTGTGTGTGTGTGTGTGTGTGTGTGTGTGTGTGTGTGTGTTTTAGAGGAAAATATTTAACAATTAACCAACCTCCACATACTTAACATAGCTTCAAGTCACCAAGACCCAAGCTCCTCCCACCCCCACCCCCAAAATTTTCTCTTCAGGTTTTGTGGGGAAGAATTTGGCCTTCACAATGACAGGTTACTTTGGGAGTTTTCCCTTCCCTAAAACTTCATAGCAGTCCATTCGAACCACATCAATGATGGAAGCAGCTCCAGTCTTGTTTTTGGCAGCTTTGACCCTCGCCTGCTCACTGACCAAGGACCATGATTTCTATAGGTTGACAGACATTGAGCAGAAGCTTTGATTCCTCTTCAAGTGGTAATGTCTCATACCAACTTTTCCAAAATAGCCTGGATGACATTTGTCAAACTCGATCCTGTGGTGATGCAAGCCACCAACATTACCTCCACCTCCAGGGTACTTCTGGTGCTTCCCAATGCGGCCGTGGCCATGGCTCACATGATCCCTAAATTTCTGGATTGTCCTTAATCTTGATGGTATGTCAGAGGCCTACACACACACACACATACACACACACACACACACACAGTAGCTTCTCTAAGTTGTGTTTTTCTAGAAAATTTTCCATTACACTTAAGTTCCCAGCAAGTTCCTCTGATCATATTATCTGTTGTCTCTATGGCCTGTAGTAATGCCATGCACCTGCACTCTAATTTTTTATTATCTTATTCTCTCTGATTTCCGAAGCAGTTCTGGCTTGGAAATGAGTTTCTTGAACATCCAGCTATTATGACTACTTCTCTATTGCTCCTCTTTTCTCACTAGGGGTTTAACTGGATTTTATTCATACAAACTGTGCTAGCCTCTGTCACAATCCGGCTGCTGCCACAAGAGGAAATAGTGGTTTATGGAATCCCCTACCTCAAGAATCTCGAGGCCATCATAGACGCCTACCCAGCCAGGTAAGACCTAGAGAAGACCCAGGAAGCCTCAGCATCCTTGCTTCTGGCTCTCCCCTGCCCTCCAATATCTCCTGAAGGCCCCTTGAGGCATTCACCCTGAGACAGGCGCACCACAAGGGGTTTGACGTTTACATGGAACTTTCGTTAGATACAAGACCATTCCCTGAGTTCTCTCAAACAAGATGCAGAAGATGGTCTACGGAGGGTTGTCTCTGAGATCTCCAGCTCCCTAAACATCCTTCTTTGGAGTATTCTGCTCGCCAAAAGCCCCGAAGTCTTATTACTGGCCTAGGCAAATGCTCCTTCCCTCTTCTCTCCCTTGCCCTCTGCCTTCTGTCCCCAGGACCATCCAGAACTACTTGATGTGGCGGCTGGTGCAAGACCGCATCAGCAGCCTGAGTCAGCGATTCAAGGACACTCGGATGGACTACCGCAGGGTAAGCCAGACCCACAGAAGAGACGAGCAGCCCTGTCCCGGAGCCTGGCCCATCATTCACGCATTTCATTTGTGATACGGAGCATCTGCTGTAGCCCACACACTGAGGTTGACATGGGGATAAAACCATGAGCAAAAGCACATCCATCCTTTTGGGCACAGACAGTGAACAATCACCAAACTACTGCTTTAGTCTATCACAACCTTAAAAAAAAAATGTGAGGGAAGAGGTGAGAGCAGAGAGGAGCCCTTTGCAGCAGGGACTCTGGAGGCCCTGAAGGCAGAAAGGACATGGAGAGATCTGGGGTAGAGTTCCAGGAAATAAAAAACAGCCCTGTTGCAGGATCAGGAGGAGTCCAGGAGGCTGGATGACCCACCTTAGTGAATCAGCCCAGAATGATGGGAAAGGTAGGGGTGAAGTTAGAGAAGAAAGCAGAGGCTAGTAATGTGAGGCTAGGCCCAGGAAATAGAGTTCCAAAGAGCCAAAGTCACTGGGAGGGTGAGAATCAGGAGCATACCATGTCATCGCCGGCTTAGGGGTCACTGTAACTGATTAAGAGAGAGTGAGTTTGCTGGGAGGGTCAGAAGGAAAAGAGCAGGAAGACCTGCTGGAGATCAACGAGGACATCTTCGTGCTGGGGGCTTGGGTGAGGGTGTTGCCAGTAGATGGATTTTGGAGACAAGTTGGAGACAGGAAACGAATAGATTACATGTGGAAGACAGGGAAAAGGAGGATCGGGAAGGACTCTAAGGTTCTCTTCTGGGATGGGTGATTCAGGAACCCCACTTTGGGCGCTTGGATTGAATAGGCTAGTAGGTATTGAGTCAGGAGCTCTGAGAAGAGATAGGGGACAGGCTCGCGTCCTGGTGTCAATCATCCCCACAGGGCAAGGAAGTAAGGAAGACATTGGACAGGGTTCTCAGGACTCACTTGAGATATGGGGCCCAGGCTCAAACATAACCCTCATTTCCACCCTGAGCCGTATGGCCAGCACAGCTGGTCTACCCATGTCCGTCTCAGAGGTAGAGACAGTGAGACTCAGAATGTTGGCAGCTTGTAACCAAGCTAAATGTGGCCTTGGGACTTGGCTCTGTGCTTTGGGGATGAGGTTGAGTCCACATCAGACAGCCAAACAGTGGTGCAGTTACAGGATGAGGGGTGCTCAGGGCTGAGGCAGGCCCCCAACAGCCCCAGGATAAATCCCCAACTCTGGCCTGACTCCCATGGATCTTTAAGGTCATCTGTGTTCCCCTTTGGCCCTGAGCACCCAAAGGCTGAGGTCCAGATGTGTCTTCTCACCTCATAACCTCAGGGCCCTTCTCGACACCTGTGGAGATAGTAGATGTCAGCAAATATGGGAGAATCAATGGATGAACAAACAAAAGGATCATGTGCACTGTCTCGCCCCATCCAGACGCTGTACGGCACGACGGTTGAGGAGACACGTTGGCGGGAGTGCGTCAGTTACGTCAACAGCAACATGGAGAATGCCGTAGGCTCTCTCTATGTCAGGAATGCCTTCCCCAAAGACAGCAAGGAGATGGTGGGTGGTCCTGCCATCTAGCGTGGTCCTAAGCCCCTACCCACAGCCTTCCCAAAGTCTCTCATGCTGGTACAGTTCCCCACAGTGCTGCCCTAGGAGAGATGGGTATAGACAGCATAACTCCTCCTATAGCCTGTCTCCCTGTTCCTAATGCGGGGACCCTGTAGGCTTTGGGACAGCAAGGTTATGTGGTCTTAGTGGTCCCCTGAAACAGGGTCAACAGAAGGAGAGAAACTAGAGACCTTTCATGACCTCTACTGACGTCATGAACCCCCAGGGCTGGGCCTTCTGGTCCATTAAGCAGCGTATTAGGGTACGAACAGCTGGGGCAGAGCACCAAGGAGCCACTGGCCTCACCACCACCCAGACACACACACACACACACACACACACACACACACACACACACACACGCACACACATCACCCATGCGCAGCGGCCCATTGCTGTCCAGGCCAGGCTGCCCCATCAGTCAGAGCCCAGATACACCCCTGCCAAGAGCCCCAAGTGCTGGTCATTATCTCCCCAGCATGTCCAGAGCACAATGCCACTTGTCCCCCTAGGTGAGAAATCTCATTGAAAAGCTGCAGGCAGTGTTTGTGGACAATCTGGATGAGCTGAGCTGGATGGACAGTGAGTCCAAGAACAAAGCCCAGGAGAAGGTAAGGACAGACCAGAGTCCTGGCACCCCTCCTCCTGAGGTGCAGAGCAGATTTCCTCATACTCACCCACTTTTGAGATGAGAAAACTGAGATTGGGGTAGGGCAGAAGCAGAACAGAAACAGAGCCTTGCCAGTGCATAACAATGGGTGATGTAGCCTCGTTCTTGGGAACCCGGGTCCCTCAGGACCACTTCTGGCCAGTGTGACAACTGGCAGCCTCATGCGACCTCCCATCTCCTTGTCCCCTTCTTAGTCTCTTGACTAGCAGGAGCATTCTAAGAGTCAGAGCCAAGTTGGACCTTCTCATGCTGTGTCTGGGTCAACTTTTGTATGTCCTTCAAGGACAAGCCAGGCCCCTTTCCTAAAGCAGCATGGCAAAGGACAGTGCTGGGACACCCAGCTCAGCCACAGTCAGGCAGACCCCATGCTCCTGCTCGTGGGTACTGACAGTCTCTCCCCACCCAGGCCATGAACATGCGAGAGCAGATTGGTTATCCCGACTACATCCTGGAGGAGTCGAACCAGCAGCTGGACATGGAGTACTCCAATGTGCGCCCCTGGCCGCCCACACAGCCTGACCTCCACCACGGGGCTCTCAGATATGGGGGGATAGAGATGGTACTTGCCAATGCCAGGCATCCACCTTGCTTCCCAGCCACTGATACAACCCAGGTCACCAAGCCTTGGGTGCTCCATAGTTACAGTCCAGCCTTGGATGAGGAGGCAGAGACCTAGAAACACTGGAGAGCTGGTCTATCACCCAAAGCTGAGAGTCACTGAGAGCCAGAGGCCCTGCAGCCCCTCCCCACCCACCCGTGTCCCACGCTTACCCCCACACTGACCTCCAGGAGTGACAGCCTCTCTCCCACAGCTGGACTTCTCTGAGGATCTGTACTTTGAGAACACCTTGCAGAACCTCAAGGCCAGTGCCCAGAGGAGCATCAAGAAGCTTCGGGAGAAGGTGGACCCAAATCTGTGAGTGGAGGGCCTGAAGTCACAGACACAACGAAGTAGGGGGTCAGGCCAGCCTGTGGGGTATAGGAGTGACTGTGGGCAGGGGTGCCAGTATGGGGATACCAGGGCCACAGAAGCCAGGCCACACTGAGGGAGGGTTCTCTGACCAAACAAATGGGGTCCAGATCAGCTGGGAGCATGGGGGTGGTATACTGGCAAGTGGGGGCCACGTCAGCCTGGAGCGTGGGGGTAGTGTGCTGGCTAGTGGCGGCCAGGTCAGCCTGGAGCATGAGGGTGATGAACAGACAAGTGGGGGCCAGATCAGCCTGGAGCATGAGGGTGATGTATAGACAAGTGGGGACAAAGTCAGCCTGGAGCATGGGGGTGGTATACTGGCAAGTGGGGCCCAGGCCAACCTTGAGCATGGGGGTGGTGTACTGGCAAGTGGGGGCAAGGTCAGCCTAGAGCATGAGGAAGGTGTGCTGGGGTCCCATGAGTCACCTTGGAGATCACGGTGATGGCTGAAGACCCTGAAGACCCTGCACAAGTGCTGGGACTTGGGCGCCTCAGGTGGCCTTCAGCCAGCTCGTAGCAGGGAGGGTCCCTGGAGATTGAACTCAAGGGATGTGCTTATTCAATGCAGCTGGATCATCGGGGCAGCAGTGGTCAATGCATTCTACTCCCCAAACCGAAACCAGATTGGTATGTCCCCCTGCTCTGTCCCCATTATTCCCTCATCTTATCCCCCGACCCCCAGCCCCTCTCAGCCTATAAGAGACAGAAAGCAAGAGCCCATCACTTCCTTGAGGTCACTTCCGCCCCTCTCTCCCCACCCCCCAGGAGGGCTGGCTCCCTCTCCAAGGAACAAGTGGGAGAGGTTAGAGAGAAAAAACAACAGAATCCTTCCCCTTGAGGGCATCACCAAGTGGGCAGAAGGGTCCTGGATCCAACCCCTTGGCCCCTGAGCCTCAGTTTCCCCAACTTTAAAGTCAGGAGCAGGGGTGGGGGGGTCATCATCTCTAGCTCTCAACATCGACAGATTAAATCAAGGATCCCCAAAGTGCCAGATCCTTGGCCTGGCACACTGGATACCCACTCACAACGATTCTTTGTCCCTTTTGGGACAGTGTTCCCCGCCGGGATCCTCCAGCCCCCCTTCTTCAGCAAGGAGCAGCCACAGGCCTTGAACTTCGGGGGCATCGGCATGGTGATTGGGCACGAAATCACCCACGGCTTTGACGACAATGGTGAGGGGGCTTCGGGGAGTCAGGGACAGAGCTGCACCCTTGAGTCTTATGCATACACCAAGAGGCACCTTGGGGGATCAGCCAGCCAGCCGTAGGTGGTCAAGAAGCGGATACGGAGGCTCAGGGCATGAGAGGAAATTGCCAGGTGTTCAGGGCCAGTGTGGCAGAACAATTCAGATGCCAGGCCTGGCCCTGTCCCAGCAGTGGGAGGAAGAGATACACATGTAACCAGACTTCATCCTATTAAATGATTCTGCCCCACTCTGGAGCTCTCCTGGTGTCGTTTACAGGGAGTCACGCTGCTAACTCAAAGTAGAGCCCCTCCGGTAGTTCAAATCTGCCAAGAGCTTTTCAGGCAGAAGATGGACAATCTGCACCTGGGTGACTTACAGCCTTTGAAAACCCACTGGAGGGTCAGCTGTAGCCTGTGACACAGGGAACAGTGACACGGGCCGCTATGCGTGCGGCCCTCATGGCTTGATGTCATTTCCCAAACAGCACCCTCCAGTCGAGGCACGTATTGAACCAAGCACGCCCACCAGGCTCTAGTGGCCGCGCTCACCCATGGGCCCAGCTGCCTCTCAGGGACGCTGGCTTCCCCATGCGGCTCTGCAGGGGGGCTTCTGGCCTGACCAGCTTTTGTTCCCAAGAGCCACACGCTCCCCTGCCTTGGGCTTTGAGACTTTGGACATCACAGGAAGGGTGCACACTGCCTCCAGGACCCTAGGACTTGGGGCCCTCGGTCTCATTCTCAGGGGATGGCATGGGTGGTGACAGCAGCCTTCCATCTCTGGGGACTAAGCAAACAGCTCCAGGACAAACAGTATTCCCCTTTAGGGAGTCTCTGAAACACAAGCTCTAGATGCCAGGGTTGGCAGGAAGGAGGGTACCTGGAGAGGGCCAGCTTCTACCCTTGCCTGCTGGAGTGGGCTGGGCATAGTTTAAACACTGAGCTCAAGGGAACTACCTCTGACCTGCTAGGCCGGAATTTTGACAAAGATGGCAACATGCTGGATTGGTGGAGCAACTTCTCGGCTCAGCACTTCAGAAAACAGTCAGAATGCATGATCTACCAATACAACAACTACAGCTGGAACCTCGCAGATAATCAGAACGTAAGCATGCTGCTGGCACAGCCCAGGGGTCTGATCCCCAACCCTGGCCACCCTGAGGTCCACACCCTACCTTTGATCACCCTAGCCCATCCCCAGCCCTGGCCACCCTAGGAGTTTACATCTCAGCCTTGCCTGCCTCAGGATTCACATCTCCAGCTTTGGTCACCCCTGGGCGAGGGGGGAGGGGGGGGCGGGGGTCACATCCTAGTCCTGGTTGCATGGGAAATAGGGCAGAGGACCCCAGATTTGTGCAGAGGACCCCAGATTTGTGCCTTCACCTTCCTCCTGTGTATATAGGTGAATGGGTTCAGCACGCTTGGGGAAAACATTGCTGACAATGGAGGGGTACGGCAGGCATATAAGGTGGGTGAGACAGGTGTTCCCTCAGGGAGAGTGGAAGGGAGCAGCCAGGCTCAACCAGGACGAGAAGCCATTAACTTGTTAGGACCTGGCCCCAGCCAAGCCAGAGTGTATTCCGGGAACATCTCCCATCTAAGCCCCGAGGAAGTGTCCCAGGTGGTGGATGGGCAGGACAAGGGCATCTCCACTGGAATTTTACCCATGCACCCAAGCCTCAGTGACAGGCTACCCCTGGATCCCAGGAGCTCAGTCTAGGGGCTATCACGGTGGGCTGCCTGGTGACGGCCCATATGGCTCCAAGCAGTACACAGAGCTCTCTTAACAGTCCCAAAGCTTTGAGGATGTGAGCATCAGGCCTCCAGGTCCTAGATGAGAATTAAGCAGCAGAAGCAGGATCCATTTGAGAGGGCAGTAGGAGGGCGGAGTGTAAGTCTGTCTGGGAAGCAAGGCAGGCCCAGCCCTCTCAGAGCCATGCCCAGTGCCCACCTGATGCCCACAGGCTTACCTGAAGTGGCTGATGGACGGCGGTAAAGATTTTCAGCTGCCAGGCTTGGAAATGACCCACACACAGCTTTTCTTTATCAACTATGCCCAGGTAGGTGCCCCACCTGGCCTCCAGTCCTGGAAGGTGCTTCATCTCACCACCAGCACCCCCCTCCCCAGGCTGGCTGGCAACTATTTCGTGCCCACGGCTTTGGGGCTGCCTACTGTGGGGACAGGGACGTGGCACTGGGTGCTCTGGGGAGTTGGGCAGGGCAGGGCCAGGCCTAGGATGCTTTCTGGAGTGAAGTGGTTACGCTTGCAGACCTGAGGAGGAGTCAGGGAGATGTGGAGGTGAGAGAAACCCGCCATTCCCCTCTCCTCTTCCTAGCCCAGTCAGGCAGATTCACTCGTGCCTAGTTGTTGTTGTTGTTGAGTGCAACCGACAAGAACCTGGTGAACAACAGGCCTGAACTCTGTCCTAGCCTGTGTCCTCATCTCTGACACACTGGAGCCCATTGCTGCAGTCACGGTGTCAGTCCCTCTCACTGAGGGTCTTCCTCTCCTGTGCTGACCCTCCATCTTTCTGAGCATTACGCCCCTGTCCAAGGTCTTCTAGCAACCTGCCTAAAGTATGTAAGAGGAGGTTCCATCATCTTTGCCTCCAAGGAGCATTCTGGTTGTACTTTCTCTAGGACATATGTATTTGTTCATTTTGGCAGTCCCTGGGGGGATATTCAGTACTTTTCCCCAACTAGAAACTTCTCCTGCCATTCCCCTGACACCCCCAACAACTGCCCCTTCCTCTCGCTAGCCACACCTTTCTCACCACAGCTACGCCCCCGGTGTGTCCACAGGTGTGGTGTGGGTCCTACCGACCTGAATTTGCCATCCAGTCCATCAAGACAGATGTCCACAGTCCCCTGAAGTACAGGTAAGCACCCAGGGCCAGCCCCACATCCACCCCGTTTCCCCTTACTCTGGTGCCCGTCTCAGGCCTTCTGTCCCCCGTCAGGGTGCTGGGCTCACTGCAGAACCTGGGCGCCTTCGCGGAGGCATTCAGCTGTGCGGAGGGCACTCCAATGCACCCGAAGGAGCAATGTCGCATCTGGTAGCTAAGTCCGAGCCTCTGTGCACGGCCCATGCCCACCTGCCGCCGGGAGGTCCCTCGAGGAGATGCGAGCCAGCAAGGACCCAGCCCGGACCCGAGCGCCCGGCCGGGCAGCCGACCCTCTGTGCATGGCCTGCAC